CTGGTTCCCCTCTTTAGCTGTTACGGTAGGGGAGAAACTCTGCTCTAGCTCTAGAGATCTTAATAGTCCTTACGGGATGGTGGACGTTCCATCACTGCCAGCTAACCCTTTCTAATAACTGGCTGCTTTCAAAGGACGGGAATGCTCGGCACTTATTACTTACATATGACTTCTTTATCCGAGTTTTAAGTTTAAAAGAGTAAATTCACTCTATCAAAGTCATAGCTGCACTTTCAACTGCAATATTTTTAATAGCAGTAAAAGAAAACCGTCAGTGATTGTAACCTACTGTTATTTTTCGTGATGAGGTTTATTTTTGTCTCCTTCAGCGTGACAGCAGTGAGGAGTCGGGAAGGCGCAGGGTTTTCGATGGAAGTCGGTTTAGCCTGTGGAGAACCCAGGCACTGAACCTTTCTGCTCTCCCTTCAGCCGTGTTACTTCGGCTTGATTCCTCTTATCTGTCCTAACCAGAGTGTCTTTCCTGCTTCTCTTATCTTGTCTGTATATTTCTAGTAACTGAGAGATAAAGTAGGGCTTTTTCTTCTTCCTCCTCTGTAGATGTCTGATTACTACCTTCTTTTGCCTTTATTTTTCTTAATTTGCATTTCCATTGAGTCCCTTAATTGTAATTTTTTTAAAAAAGTTGTAATCTGGTTCTTCCTTTTTAAAACCTTCTTGATGAAGTATTACAAGTTGAATACCATGAGAAATATAAATTGTATCTACAATTTGCAATTCATGATCTGTCTCAATGGGGATAGCTCAGTGTCCCTCAGTGATGTATCGATAACACAGATGACAGTTGGCATTAAGGGTATTTTTCTACATTAACTTCACCTCCTCCCATTATTTCTGGATGTTCTACTGTCACACTTATGCACTTGCTCTCCCTGGAAAAGAAATTGTGAGTACTCAGTCTTTTTCCATTCAGCTGCATGTGCATGCACACGCACTCACACCAGCGTAAAGGTTTGCCTTTCCCCGGAGAAGTGCCGTGGGGCGTGCATGGCTGCTTTCCTTGCCCCAAACCGAAAGCAAAATAAACAAACGCATGCAGCATTTTTTCTCTTCTTTTTACAGGTACTTCATTAAACATGTATCTGTTGTTTTTCTCCAAAGCAGCTCTCATAAATCCAATAAACTCCCATGCCTTTGGTTTATTTGGCGTTTCTTGCCTCTCTGATCCCAGTAACGTGGTGTGCAGTAGTCTGTCCTTTCTTTCCTTCCTCTGGTGTTACCTGTGCCTCCATCCTACCTTGACAGCCCGTCACGCAAGCCCTTGCCTTTCCCCAGCCCTGCCCCTGTGCTCTCCTCGTTCTCTTGTCATCGATCCACGGGCTCTGCGTGAGACCCCTGACGTGAATGTGTTCTTCCCGCGAAGGCCTTGTGTGGCACTGGCCATAATTCTCCTTGTCAAGCTTAGTCAGGGTAGTTCTTTGGCTTTAGTCTGGGCCTTGGAAGTGAAGCCGTTTGTCTCTGGTGTTCCAAGTCTGTCCCGTACCGACTGTACCAAGGTCGTCATTTGGTCTGGCTGGGCTGTGTGTACATCCCGTTTTGTTCCAAGTTTTTTGGTTTCCCGTGAGAAAAAGTAATGATCATTTGGTGATTCTCTTCCTTTCTCTAAGACACTTGAAGTTGTATCCTGTATTTCTGTCCAGTTCCTGATGGGAGCTTCTCCTACGTCCGTTGTTCAGTTTTTTCTCCCTTCCCTAGCTTGCATATTTCTCCTGAGCAAAATCTCATCTTTGCCTGTGTTTGGTTTTGGTTTTTTTTCTCTTTTCCTTTCTTTTTCTCTGTACCCACGGCAAGTCCTGCAGTCTCTTTTCCCTGTTCCAAAGGGAAAAACTCCTTGCCTTTGCTGCCTTTGTTCCGCTGACCGAGCGTGCACTGTCATTCTCTCTCCAAACAGACATGGAGGTTTGCCCTCTTTAAGGCAAACCCCGTTTTTTTTGTGCCTTATCAACACGCTGCGTGTCGTTGCTTCCCCTGGGCAGCTCGTGCACATGAGGCAAGTGCGAATCCTTGTGACTCGCTGAGGAAAGAAAACAGGAGTTACACATTGTTCCTCTGCCAGAGAGGATGGAAAATGACAGATACGTGTGATTTGTTACACCTGTCTCTACCACAAAGACAGCAAAAAGTCTTTATGCCTCGTTTACCCACAAAAATGATCCCTTTGCTTGCATTTTCGGTCTGTCTCCCAACAAAAAACGGTTACACTTGCTTTTCTGTGAAGGTAAATCATGGATGTGTGAGCTGTCTTTCTGACTTGCTTCGTTGACAAAGCAAAAGCAATTTCTTTCCTTGGGACAACACATTTCAAATACAGATTCTTTTTATCTCCCATATCTCCACACCTGTTTCCTCTACCAAACCGTGCTCATTCTTCCCTTTCTACCCTCTCCGTAAGTATATATACTCTTTCCCTGACATGTAGCCACAGTCTTTTCTCCCCATTCCCTTTGTATGTTGTCCTCTCTCATTCCTTCTTCCTGATGGTCCCCATGCCGTCTAATCTTCTCGTACCTCCTTAGGTGACACCTTGATTCCCCCCATTTGTTACAGGTGAGCTCCTCGGGGGCTGCGGCCCGGGATGGCCGTCTGAAGGTGGGAATGCGGATCCTGGAGGTGAATCATCAGAGTTTGCTGGGAATGACACACACAGAGGCCGTACAGATACTCCGGAGTGTGGGTGACGCGCTCCTAGTGCTGGTGTGCGATGGCTTTGATCCCAAGGCTGCAGCTGCCATCGAGGTGAGAACTGAAGTGTGGGGTGCCCTTGTGGTGACCAGTACCACAAGGGTCCCACCCCTTTTTTCAGAGAAGATTACTGGATTTTTCCAACCTCTTGCTGTAGATTTTTTTTCTTCCCCGAGGTCCCAGGTTTCAAAGTCTGGTCTCCTACTACATGAACTGGAGGTGGTTGCCAGTTCATAGAAGTGATACTCTCTGAAGACTGTCTCTCTTCTGCTGATTACAGAATTGTTTTACAATATCACTGCACTGGTTAGAAATGTAGTTTTCAAGCTAATTTTCTCCAGGCTATTTATGCCTATATTTTCTTGTGCCTATGTTATATTTAAAGTAAATTGTCTGTTTATTGGTGTTTGCAGGGAAGCACTTGCCCATAGTAATCCTGTCCCTTCTCTACTTTCTGTTTTTTGAGGCTTAGCAAGTAAGCTTTTTTAGTCTCCTCTAGAATATGTACCCAATCCCTGGCCACCTTGCCCCCTTTCTGTACCTGTTTCAGTTTAAATTAATCTTTCTCAGACCTCAAGCTCCTTGAGTAATTGACAGCTGAAATAAGGTCTCAGGTTGTGAAAGCGTTCTGACTTGCCCAGGATCACCTTGGTACTCTGCATCTGGGAGCCCAGGATATGGGATGTTTTGTATGGCACACTATGGGCCTCTGCCATGTTTTGTCGCCTTTTTGCATTGTAGATGTCCCCAGGAATCATTGCAAACCCTTTTGCTGCTGGTATTGGACGCAAGAATAGCCTGGAAAGTATCTCTTCTATTGATCGGGATTTAAGCCCTGAAGAACTGGAGATCCTACAGAAGGTGGGTATTCTGGCTACAGCTGGGAGAATATTATGGAGTGGAAAAAGTTTCTGAAAAATCTTTAATGTCTCCTTTGGTGCGTGGAATCTGCAACATAAGGAGTAGTGGACTTCCTTTTGATGGGATCAGCAAGTCCCAGCACTTTCATCAGGAACGCGCTAGGACAGGGCTCTGAAATCTTCAGGAGGTTACAGGTGCTCCAGGTGGGGAGAGAGCACTGGGTGAAGTGGCTCTAACTTTGGTCTCTCCTAGGAGATGGAAATGGTGAAAGAAGCAACTCAGTGGGAGAGAGAAGAAGTGGAGAAAGTGGTGAGAGATTTTTCACGTAGCAGAATCTGTTCTTGACAGCGGTTCTGCCAAGGCTGTGAGCCCGAAGGAAAATGCTCCAGATTGTCTCTACCCAAACGTTTGTGCCGTGCGGGGCTGAGCCTGCTCTCTCCGTAGTGCTCCGCTCAGGCTGGCTGCTTCTCGCCTTTGCCATGCCACCCCACGTACCTCGGTGGTGGTGCTCTTGTGGTGCCCACAGAGCGCGTCTCTGTGACCTGCGGGGAGTTTCTGGCCAAGCTGCAACTTGGAGAAAACTGGCCTGTTAGCTTGGAAGTCCCAATTTAGTCAGTTCTCTCTCTACTGCACTCCATGACCTGGCAGAGCTTTTGTGAGCAAAGATGAGAACACACAGCTCAGAGTTGCCCTGAATTTGAAGAAGTGGCACAATGGGAAGAAGTGGCACTGTTTGGAGTGGCACAGTGGCAAGAAGTGGCACTGTTTGGAGTGGCACAATGGGAAGAAGTGGCACTGTTAATCAATTCCAAGCTTGTGCTCCTCGGTTTACTGGATCGTTTTTCTGACTGGTTATGAGAATTCTGTGTTTCTGCCACAATTTCAGCCTTTCATAGAGATAGATTAGCAGAGTCAAGACCCTCAAGGACTTGGGTTTTCTAGTTATCCCTCTTAAAATGGTGATTTATTCAGTCAGATTCTTTTGGAACATGAAGGAAAATCGAATCCTTCAGTATCATCAGTTAGGAATCTGCTCTCCTGGCATATAAGTATGTGGGAATTTTGCAAGTGTTTCTTCAGGTTTCCAAGTCAGATACACCTGATATTTCTCCAGGTTCTTTCTCTAGTTGTAATCACTTGGCTTGTTTTTTACGTTTGCCACCCCATAAGACTGTAGTTATGTTGGCAATTGGATGGAGGCGATATTTATCATTTACTTTACACTTGAGATTTTACCTGTTTTGGAAAAAATGGTGAGTGTTTTGAATAGTCAATGGCACAGACTGTTAAGAGGACAGAGCAATGAACAAGAAAATGGCCTTATGCCCCTTCAGGCACGTGGTATGTGTAATCATTGAATAGACATAAATATATTTCATATTTCCATAATCCTGCTGTCAGTGGCTGAAGGAATGCAGAGTACCGTTTCATGAAGGACTGGGGTAGGGACTCCCTTTGGAAGCTTTGCTTTATTTTTGCTGACCTACAGCTTATGTTGATGTTAGCATGGGCAGGAGGAGGACAGGGATTTCTGTCCTAAGAATCTGCAAGGTGTTCTGATGGTGTTTGAGATCTGTAGGTAGATGGGAATTCTTCCAGTGGAATGACCTTACAGAATAATTTGGGTAGGAAGGGACCTCTGCAGGTCACTTGGTTCAGCTCAGAGCCAATTTAGATCAGATTTGTTTTTTTTTTTTTCTATAAAATTTCTTGTTCCGGGCCTAGGAAGGAACTGAGAGTGGTTTGTTGTGGCTTCAGAAAACCTGGTTTCATAGTGTTACTGTTACAGCACAGGGTATTCCTACCAGTTTTGTGTTGGTAGCATAGGGATTTGAATACTTTCTTGGAGACTTCATACTATGAGCCATTGTCAGCATTTCTAACACCTCTGAATAAACGAAGAGCAAGTCTGGCCCCAAAGCCATGCTGCTCTGTCCAAGCAGGTTGCATTTGTTCAGTCTTAGATAAAGACTTTTGCAAAATTTACGCTGAGGTTACTTAAAGATACCCCAGAGATTTTGTCAAAAAAACAGAAAAACCTTTATGATTGGTGATGTAGCCTTGGCAATATCTCATTTTTAAAAGTGCTGATGGTATTATGATAGCTTTTTATGGAAAATTAGAAATTTTATTAAAATGGTAAATTTAAAAGAAAAAAACTTAGCAATAACTAGTCATTCAGCCATCAGCAATATTTCAAAACAATGGTAGGCATCTTATAACAAATATCATTATTATTCCTGGAGGCTGAACAACACACCATAATCTTGATTCATCTTTCTTGGATGTTTTACTTTTGACAGATTTAAAAGCAATATTCTGAGGTTGCACTGACATGTATTTAAGGACTTCTAAGGTCCATATTCCCATATACTGCCTTTTCTTTCACTATAGTGTGGCTTAGTATATTTACAATGTTGTCTGTCCCAGCCTCTGAAGAGCTGAGAAGTGCACTTGGAGCCTGGTGATCAGCAGAGACTCCCTCCAGAATCGCCTGTGCCTTTTAAAGATTTATATTTTTTGGCGCCCCTTTCACTGGGGTACTAGCGGGAGGTAGTGATGGATGCTCCTGACTCCCGAGTTCTTGGAATCGACGGCCTGAGACTCAAGAGCAAAGACACGTTTTTCTGCTGTTGCCTTTTAGCATGACCTTGAAACTGGGATTCTATCTCTAAGACTGGTTTTGCTGATGTTTATGCTGCTGGTGGAGCCAGCACTGTATGGTAGCCATTGTAAGGCTGTGGGAAGTTCCCACCTCAGTGTCAGATCATAGAATCATAGAATCATAGAATGGTTAGGGCTGGAAGGGACCTTCAAAGGTCATCTAGTCCAACCCCCCTGCAAGGAACAGGGATATCTCCAACTAGATCAGGTTGCTCAGGGCCTCGTCCAACCTGGCCTTGAATGTCTCCAGGGATGGAGCATCCACCACCTCTCTGGGCAACCTGTTCCAGTGTTCTACAACTCTTATGGTAAAAAATTTTTTCCTAATATCCAACCTGAATCTACCTCCCTCTATTTTAAAACCATTACCCCTTGTCCTATCACAAGAGGCCCTCCTGAACAGCCTCTCCCCATCTTTCTTGTAGGCCCCCTTGAGGTACTGGAAGACCGCTATAAGGTCACCCCGGAGCCTCCTCTTCTCCAGGCTGAACAGCCCCAACTCTTTCAGCCTGTCTTCATAGGAAAGGTGCTCCAGCCCTCTTATCATCTTCATGGCCCTCCTCTGGACCCTCTCCAACTGGTCCATGTCCTTCTTATGTTGGGGGCTCCAGAACTGGACGCAGTACTCCAGGTGAGGTCTCACGAGGGCAGAGTAGAGGGGGAGAATCACCTCCCTCGACCTGCTGGCCACGCTCCTCTTGATGCAGCCCAGGACGCGGTTGGCCTTCTGGGCCGCAAGAGCACATTGCCGGCTCATATTGAGCTTCTCGTCCACCAGTACTCCCAAGTCCTTCTCCTCAGGGCTGCTCTCGATCCTCAGTAACGCTGTTTGTGTCACCATTTTTGGACCTTTCCTCTAATCCTTTGGTGTTTCATGTTCAGTTTTGCATGAGAGTGATAGAGCTCAAACATGTCTCTGTACAGTAAGGTTGTGAACTGAAGACATGGGAAGAATTTTGGCTTTGCTCTGCTCGCTGTTAGTCCTGTAGAGGTTTTCCAGTACCACTGTTGCACTCGCTGCATACAACTGAAATTCAGTTCTTTGATAATTCAGATAGCAATATTAGTAACTCCAAATCTCTGTGGGCTGATTCTTGGTGCATTTCTCTGTCCCAGCTCTGTAGCTGTAGTTATTTTCCTAGTCTTAATCCAGAGCTTCCTCAGGCTCTCCAGATGTTGTCAGAGATGAACTTTGAACGTTGCACAGCTCCATCTGGGCAGGCTGGTGCTCTTGCCTCTCTTCAGCCTAAGACCTCAGAGAAGGATCGCATACAAGATCACTGTCAGCTTGAACCTTGCAGATAATACTTGTCCAAAATAAGCATAATCAGATTCAGAACAGACTTTAGCTTAAATATCCCTAAATATCCCTGTGGGTCTTGTGATCCTTAATGTCTCCTCATATTGCTCATTATTGTCTGGAGCTCAGGGGTGTGATGTGGGACACTGGCTATTTGCTAGTGGTAGTGCACAGAAGCTTTTGGAGGAAGGGCCTAGATGCACACCAGAATTTTCAGTTAGCTCCCTCTGTATTTCTCAGACGCCTCCCACCTCCCGTCCTTCCAGCCCTTGGAGCCCTGGGCCGTCTGGTTGCTGCTGTTTGGGGGCTGCAGGCAGGAGGGTCGCGATACGCAGCAGAGCGGAAGAACGATGCTGCGTTTGTCCGCAGCCGCACTTGGCAGCACGGGTGCTGGGCACAAAGTCACAGAAGTGCAAGCGCACAGAAGCCGTGCGGTAACCACGCAGCACCTGCGTGCCTTCCTCGCGCAGCCTGGCACCGGGCCCTCGGCTGGGGCGGTGGCACGAGC